CACACTAACTGACTCAGTTAATGGCTTGCGCCAATAGCACTTTTGTTTCCTAGCGAAGGTGGGTTCATGACTCTCCAAAGCTTCGCTAGGAACATTGCGCGTTGCGCCTAAAGTTTTGGATCTCCAATCGATCCACGGCTCATGGCGTTCCAGCCAGGCCATACCGAGAATAAGATCATATCTCGAGTCCAAATCTAGGACAAGACAGCGTTAAACGCTATTGAAGTCTAAGAACTTCACACCTAAGTTCAACGGAACTTTAGGAACGGTGACACGTACACCGGTCGCGAGACGCACGTTTATACTGTCACCCTCTTGCGCTTCTAGCGCCTCAGCATACAGCTTACTCCCTTCAAGGGAACGACGTCGGACATAATTCCCTGACGCCCCTGAGTCAATTAAAATTGACCATGGTTTCTCAAAACCCTTAACGATTGCCGACACAACCAACAAGCCTGGCTTGTAATCTTGTTCTATGGGAGCATCCACAGAACCACCTGGGGCTAAGCCCTGTTTACCTTTACCTCCTAAAGATCCAGCAGAACTTAGTTCTTTCCTAGTAGGGCGCCCCGCGCCTACTGGGAGTTGACGTTTTCCCCTGCGGTGCTCGCCTTTTGGCTAGGAGCAGTGTTTCGGCTTTGCCGATTTAAACGTTGCTTTCGCAACGGACAGCTAGGGCGGAGATGCCTAGTGCTTTCGCACATATAACATCTACGGATGATACCTTGCTGCTCAGCAGCTTGAAGCTCAGCTTCTTCAGCATGGCTGAGGTCCATGGGCTCCTCCCTGTTAAGCACTTGAATTATACCATGGCAGACCATAGCGAGCAGATTTGAAATTAAATTCAGCGTTAAACGCTATGCTTACTGCCTCTTCGATAGTCGAAGGCTGGACACGGAAAACTTCCTTCTTGGCGACCCCAGTGCGAAGTCCTTCCATAAAAATGGTAACTCGGACTTCCTCTGCCAGTGGGTCCTGCTGCATAGCAGCAATGAGAGTTCTCAACTCTTGGACATAGTCCGACAATTCTTTCTTACCCTGTCGGGTAGCTAGGAAGCGTGAGCGCACACGATAAGCCTGATTAGGCGGTGCAAACACGCAAGTTAAATATTTTTTTAAGCATTTCCCATGTGGGAAATGCAGCATTTACAGATCCATCGCTCGTTGGGGCCCACTCTCTAGCTCTTCCACCGAGCTTAGAAATGGTCAAGCCAACTCGTTGCTTATCGGATGCAAGCATGGCGGCATCCATTGCCATTTCAACTTCTCGGATCCAGAGGAGAATATTCTCTCCCTCCTCCCCCTCGAAGGTCTTTACATTTAAAACAATGGGCGAGCCTTTGGCTCTGCATCGGGCACAGGTACCGGAATGTACTGTGTTGGCGCAGATGACGCTGCCTGGTCATGGACCTGCCCGAGGAGCGTTGCCTCATAACTCATGAAGGCCTCAAGAAGAGCATTTAGAACCTCGGGGCCTTGGGCCAAAAGGGCCTCGATTTGATCGGGCCCGACGAGCGCAGATAGTTTATCTAAGGCGAATCGTTGCGCCTCAGAGAGGTGAATTTGATTCTCCATCCTCACAGAGGGTCAGTCTTTAAAGACTCAGGTGTAGGATTGACTACAAGTGCTACCAAGTGTAGCCGATCTGCACAGCTCTTTAGCCAGAGGAAGACTTTAGGCTGGAAGCCTCTTAGTTCTAGAGAACTAAATAGAGTTAAGGCTAAAAGTCACTTAGTTCTGAGGAACTAATTAAACGACTTAAAGTCACCCTGTTCTAAGGAACGAGGAAAGAGACTTTAGTCAGCAAGCAATAAGCTTAAGGTTCAGATAACCAACGCACAGAGTGCAAGAACAAGCTAGAAGCTTAAAGGTTCAGAAGACCAACGCACGAAGTGCACAAGAGAACAAGTCAGAACGACTTGCGATCTTAAACTCAAAATGAGAACTGATTTTATTTATGCTTTAAATTTTATGAATAGTCCTACTCTAAGTACACTACACTAGATTAATTACTAGGATAGTAATTATTATATGCAGACTTTGCTATTGGACGACGTATCGTCTAAACATCTTTGTATGATGTACTTAGTAAAGCGTTATCGATTTATCGAATCCTAATCGATAAGATACGGTATTACCGAATACCGTATCTTAACGCTCATACTTAATACCTCTCTAAAAGAGAAGTATAGTAATGCATTATATGCAATACAAGGGGACTTCAACCGTAAACTCTCGGAAAGACGCTACAACCGTCGTGTAACCCCGTTACAAATCATGGATACTTATAGACCTTACATTAAGTATATTACTTAATGTTTGTGTATAACTAGATGCCCAGTTACACCAATTGCTATCGCGAGAAATGAAGGATATCAAAGTCGTGCGAAGCACATTGATATACGATATCATTTTGTCCGTGATCAAGTCAAGGTCACGGTAATTCAGCTGGAGTATAAAGATACTAAGCTACAGCTCGCCGATTTTCTAACCAAGGCAATTTCGACGAAGAAATTTTAATTCTCGTGGTGAAGTCAAACATTGGAAATTTTTTGTCGAGAAGGAGTGCTGACGACGGAAACTCATCGGATGCTTAAGCGGCGTGCTGATGTGACCAACATGGACGACACCACTGACAGATGTTGGGGAGCTACAGAAGAATGTTCTAGATTAAGCATATAGTGATTGGCTAGAAATATTTGTAGGGTTTTCTATAAGAGCTAATATACTTTTTCATTGACTTCCTCGTTCACAATTAACCCTCTGTAAGTAAATAAACAATACACCTCACGTTCGTCTAGTTTCACATAGCGCGACACCGTAAGCGAGTGAAAGCGTACAAGTCAAACGCGAAATACTCTAGTTTTTTTTGCGTCACGAAAGGCATGCAATAGAAGCTAGTCTTATCCTCTTTGCATTCTAAATATGAGCGTTTCGATGCGATCCCAAACACGTAAAAGTGATCTAGTATCGATTACCTTGAAGCCCAGCTCATACGGTGACATGGTTGAATGCTGCCTTGAGAGGTACACCGCTTACTTACAACGTCAACCAACCCAATAAAGATGCACTAGTCTAGTGTATCTCAACAGGGTTGGTGTACAGTAGCATACTTTGTGCGTTTTCCATGATGGTACGATTCATCCTTTCTGCCTACTGGTTGCAGGCTGTATACGGTACCGTCTGTAGGTAAATGATATCGTTCGCCGCGTCGCTTTTTCTTCTAAACCTAGGCCATCACGTAACCCAGAGCAATGACCGCGTCGGCCTCACCGATCCGTATGTTATAAACCCCATTCGGTAGCTTTTAAAACTATTTGCTTTTAAAGCCACTAGCGTTCTCACGCGAATCGTTCCACCTGCAACCGCTGCTCGTTTCGCCTTAGTACATTAACTTTGCTTTTCTTACACAAACGCTAGCTAGATTATCAAGGCTACTTTCTACTACGATGGAAGGATCGTCTTAATTAGATGATCCATCACTTTCCAATTCGCGCCTTCGAGCAACAACGGCCAAGAGACGAAGACCTTCAAAGAGCCGGTCAACCGGCCCCCTCCGACCAGGGCGGGAAGTCCCTCCAACGGGAGGCCCAGGATAAGAGGGGGGAGGTTTTCCCTCTGCTGCGTGCGCTATGGGGGGCAAGCGCAGCGTGCGAACCGTAAGGGGAGCACCAACCCTGTTACCCCCGGGGGGAGAGGATCGACGACCGCGGTTATCATTCCCTCTTTCCCCAATAGTTCCTGCTATTCTACGTCAGCCTTCAAGCCGCCGATTCGATCGCCGAGCGCGAATCTCGGTCCCACGAAGTGAACTTGCCAAGAACGTGACTTGATCGGCCCCGTCCAGGTGCATCAGCGGTCGATCGGGACTGATCGGTGTGGTGCCCGGCGCTTGTTGCGATCATTGAGCCACTGTTTACACCTCGGGCTGAATACCCGATTCCACGTGCCCTTTTCGGAGTGTCCCCCGTGACGCCCGACGTCTCGAGCCAGCAGATTGAGCCAGCGAGGCGAAGAATGACGAAGTCCTGGTAGAAGCACTCCAGACATCTTACCAATCCTTAATGTTTGAAATAGACGGTCTGTTCTTCTTCAAATTAGATGATCCATCTCTTGGTACGCTAGCAGCACTTACACTCTCTCATGGATCGAGCATGCCTGGCGGTCCAGATTTTACAACGGGCGGTCAATCACGGAAGTCGGTCGTTAACTACCACACGTATTTGTGCTGTATCAGGCAGCATTCAGGTGTACTCGTGGAACCTCCAGCGGGGTCCGTTGTACCATCGGCCGTGTTATCGTGTTCTGCTAAATCTGTACACGTACATGTAGTACTTAGTACTAAAATACTGCAGCTTGAACTTGTACTGCAGCGACTATGTGCGGCTTGTCGACTCTGGGAATTGCCACAACAACACCGTCGTTTTACGTCGCTTCAACCGATACGCTACGAGCCAAAAAATAGCTTGAACATATGGTGAGACCAATATGGACAATCCATCCTTGTTCGCCGCGTTGTACGTCACCTCGTTGTCAAACGGTGCAAAACGAGTCGCACGCATGTGTTTGCCATGTCGGACTTGGCAAGTTTATACTGTATGTTCATCATTGCAGTTGAAGAAAACGTTATAAATTTTATTCCACGGAGCTGAAACGCATTTTAAGCTCTACTAATAGCATCGACAATTTGGCGACATGCTTGCTACCGACGTCTCACATTTCGTCCACCACCGAGCTGGCTGACTTAGCTGCTAAAAACGTCTACCGTAAAGAAACTGTCAGAGAGCGGGTAACTGTCGGAGGCAAACAAAGTCAAGCCATTCTGCAAAAGACGGCGGAATTTCCCTAAGATAGAGACACCAAAGCGACGCAGAAAGAGTTGTACCATCCGATAAGTAGTCAAAAAACAAGAAGAGCGAAAACGACTGGCCACACTACCGAACTTGCCGCTTGTCGCTCAGGACTGATCGCTTGTGACTTCAAACCCGTACAACGCACGAATGTTCGACGATCTGTTCAAGTTGCTGCGCAGCCCACGATGGGTCAGTTCACCCATCGCACGACGCTTTGGCTTCAGTTCCGAGCTGTCATATGAGGAAGACGATCTAGGTAGGTCTGCACTTGGAACACGATCACTTTATGGAACCAATAGGAACAATCAAGTGACCCCGCTGTCGGTGTTGCTCTTTGTAGAAGATACGCCGTCGAATTGGACCAAGATTTCAACTTCAGGCCACCGGCCTCCGGTGCGCAGCGGTCACTCGTCTCTAGTTGGTACGTCACTCATTATGCTGCATTTGAGATGCACATTATTTTGTTAACGAGCTTTGCATGTTACAGTTGATGACATGATGTACGTGTTTGGAGGCTACAACGACGGAAACTGCCACAACGATGTCTACGCGTTTGACCTGGTTCGCCACCGCTGGCAATACATTAAGACGTCAAACGGTATCCATCCCGGTAGGATCCCCATGCAATCCATCGCATTGTGTTTGAAAATCTTTATACTCACAGCTTTACTCTGCCTGACAGACGGTCGTGCCTCCCATGCTTGGTGTACATCAACGGATAAGACGAATCTGTACCTGTTTGGTGGATCAGGGCCGCATTGGGGGCAAACAAACATGGGTAAATTGTTGCAGTTCAATATTCGCGACAAGAACTGGACAGTTATCGAGGCAAAAGGCAAACAACCGCCGCCAGGATACGGCCAGAGCCTTTGTGCTATCAACAATAAGCTGTATCTCTTTGGAGGCACTTCTGGACACGTATACGTGAATGACCTATACGTTTATGATGAAATGACGAAGGTTTGGGAGAAAGTAGAGACAAACGGCAAGCGCCCGAGCCCGCGGTATAAGCATCAAGTGGCCATAGTCACCAATCGTATGTACGTTATTGGCGGTGGTCTTTACGATCCACCCAAAGGGCCAATCAGCACGTACTATCTCGATGTGGACACTCTGGAGTGGCACGACGTGGAATGTAGTGGCGACATTCCACGGTCACGCATCGCGCACACAATTTCACAATTGTCGAGTGACCCCTACCGGTTGATCATGTTTGGTGGACGTGACGACAGCGGTTCAAGGCAAAACGAACTGAGTGAGCTGAACTTGCGGACTAATGAGTGGAAAATTTACTACAACGAAGAAGGCCATCAGCCCGACGCTCGTGACTTTCACACAAGTGTGTTTCATAACGACCACATTTTCGTTTTTGGTGGATCGAATGGCGTAGAGCGCAACAATGATGTTTTTCGCTACACGATGACGTACCAACCGTCTACGCTATTGATCCTCGCCATGCAGGTTCTGCACCAAAACATTGAACACATAGCGAAAGAGGATCTGGAAGCGCTGCCATTTGATCTAAAAATTGGCGTGGAGAACATTAATCCTGATGTGAAATGCTCCCACAACCCGACTTGGTATGTCCTCGAAGACCAAAACCAAGAAAACGGGACGCTAGATATGTAGACTTGATTGCTAGATTGTACGTTAGGTTCGTTGCTAAAATAAATTATTCCCTCTGAACTAGTCGTTTGAGTCCGTGATTCCACCCGTGTATAGCTGGATGGAGCACTCAGCTTCGGGCATGCATGGACTGTCGATGATTTTGCTGCAAAACAGCACATAAGTATCAATGCCGAAGCCGCGGAAAGCTCTATAACACGATTACGGATACCAGATGCGATTGTCAGCTCGCCCCTTCTTCATCTGCATCAAAAGCGGTTGATTAAATGAAAATGCAAATGGCTAATGCATCTCTCGTGGCGTATTTCTATAAAGCACCAACCAGTATACGCGTGTGAACTCCATGTGACATCACATGACCACCTGCACAATAGCAGTTAGTGATTTTAAATACCACTCCTTGCCTTCCTTTAACCTTACCGACAGGCTTAATCGCGGACCCAAACATCACATTAGCTCCCGGGTCAGCCATCACTTGGTTTACCACAAGAACCGCGATATTAAATTCCTACATGAAAAGAAGTAGTTGTGTAGTATTTTACTACATTCTGCCAGCAGCACATTAAAATACCTCGGCGTGCTTTACAAGCCGAACAAGATGTTGGTTGAGTCGCTGTTGTCTTTCACTAAGCTCCACTCTATACATTGTAAACGTGATGAGCCAGCGCAACGACTCGATTTGAATCCTGATTAAAATAATAAAGAATTCATGAAGAAAAAGCGTTTTCGCATACTTTCCAGAAAAATCTGAGCGAAATAACGCTGTCACCGAGTCAATGATCAACAGACGAAAGGGACCCTGGTCAGGATCCTGCGATGCAAAACCTGTAAGACGCCAAATAATTTCTGCATCTTTATGCTAATGCATACCGCGAAAATAACGCCAAGTTTAATGACGAAATCCATCTGAGCATCGTGGCTATGAGCCCTGCAATAACGTGTGAGAAATTCTTCACACAGTACACTTTAACGCGGCTAGAAAACCTTGCTACAATGATGTTGTCAAGAACATCCTGTGGATCCTACAAAAACTTGCAATTAGACGTGGGAAGCAGTTCTAAGCCAGCTGCGTGGCAACACTTTACCAGGTTGTATCGTTCCTTTGCAATCTCGGCGACGCGATTCTAACAATATGCTCCATCAAATACACGAATAATAGCCCTCAAGCATAGGTCTTAGACGTGCGTAACTTACCGGCCGAAATGTTCCTTCCGTGTCGACAAAAGCGACTTTTCCTAATTAGGTATGCATAGTTGAAGAGTTCAAGATTTTGTGTTGAAATATTAACATACCATAGCTCGTACCAGCCCCTCCACCTCGTGAACGGGGTAATTGCGCTGTCACGCAGAGCTAGTAGAACCGCATGCAGTCAGCAACTATTGCTCCGTTTTGGTCATTAATGAGAAAGTTACCGTATGGCACAATTGTGTTTTTCCTGTACGAAATTCACCGTGGACCTACCAATACACATTTTTTCCGTTAGACTTGCTCACGCGTCTGTGAAAGTATTGCTTTCCTACCTCTGTAACGGACATAGTTTCCAAGCCACCCCCCAGAATTTGGTCGAACTCTGCAGATTAATCGCGTCCAATTAACATGGCTAATGGAACTCGCAAAACGAGAGGTATAATGTTATTCTTACGCTTTGATCCTGTGGTGATGAAAACTTTGCGTAGACTTTGCAAGTAGAGTGTGTTGGCCGAGACGAACCCGCTCTTTTCGGGCATTAGCTGTAGCAATAGATTGGTGTTAGCACACGACACAGCATGCTTAAACGTATTTTGGTTTCCCTCGAATCACGATGCAATACCTTTCTGCCTGCTTGAAGAAGCTACGCACAAAAACATTCGTGCCATTTTAGAATATGTCCAGCGGTAGTACGACAAAGATATTAATCACTTGTACCTTGTCCATTTTAGACTCGCTGATCCCCTTCACGTCCAACAATTTCCTCTGGGAAACTTGAAAGAGCTGTCCGATCGTTGCAAAACCACCATTCTTAAGTTTCGCAATATCTATCGTGTTAATGCCAGCGTCCTGAAGCAGGTCGATGGGCTCATACGAGCACAAGCTGTATTCTTCTTCGTCATCGCTGTCGTTTAAGCGAGGCGTTGCAGCAATTTGCAGGTCCATATCCTTGGATTGGCGCTCGCGGTAGCTGCACAGAACACGAGATCACCAATCTCACCGAATGTTCAAAGCATAAACTAATTGTACAGGTACTTACCTCCTGGTGACGCCCATCGATCGTATCTGCAGCGTATTTGTTGTTGTTCGTACGTGCGAAAGTAAAAGTGAGAGCGGACGACATTTCCCCCGTGCGGAACAGAATGATGGTCAGGGAAACTTCAACGTAAAGCTGATGTATGTATAGTTGAAGTAGCTGGATTTCAGTATAGCTGTACGCAGTATTTGCCGTCTATTCACGAGTTCATTACCAACAATCTCCGTATTCGTCGGTGATGGTGCATCTCGCTTCTTTAATAATACCGACCGCCACGCTGCATGTGGAGATCCACGATTCTCCAGCGGAGTAATTCCTGCTCCTCGTCGTAGTCACGCTGGAAGGCGAAAATGTAGTAGTAAGCCAGCACCTCGTCCTCGGATCCTTCAACTACTTCGCCCTCACGGTTGCGGATACAGTTAATTTGCTGTGCTTGAAACCGCATTAAAACGATCGGAGCTTGCTTGTCCTCGGCCTAATGTAATAACATCTGACGTCAGAAATATAACACATCAAATTGTTCCACAATTAAGCTGTACGTACTGTAGCTTCAATAACTTCCACATTGTCAATGCTGAGCACATGCGGATCCATGACCAATCCCTCGGACTTGCGCTCACGAATAGCGATGTTCACACGCGAGTATGCTGCCTCGCCGAACCACTTCTTCAAGTCTCGGCTGTTGCCACGCAGAAACGCCTCCAGCACTCCAGGTAAAACAATTTCCTCGATATTTTCCTTCCACTTTTCTAAGATAAAATCTGGCTCAGCTCGACGAATCTCCTTGATTGCAACACCCATAGGGGTCTCACCAAAAAGTCCGTCATAAATTGACGACAGTCGGTACACCCAAGGATTTTGACTTGTCTCCCAGACCTCCAGGACTTCTTCTTGAGCGTCGCTAAGTTTGTCCTTAACCTGCTTCGTCGTCTGATGCACCTTCTTTCCTGCATCTGTCTTCGCCGCCTGCTTCGCGGCATTCAAAATTCCCTGTATAATCGGTGCTTCACGAAAACGAGCGCTCACACGCTGCCATGCGCTTTCCTTCTCCTTCACAGCCACCAAGGCACTAATGCCCATGTATTCTGCAGGCTCGTCGCTGTCGTCTTCTGTCTTCTTTGGCTCTTGCATAGTCGGCGTGCGAACTGAGGCCAAAGCCTCGTCAACCGTCTGTTTTTCTGTTTTACCAAATAGCTCTTGCGCGGCCTCCTTCCACTCGTCACGCAATTTAGGAAACTTGTTAAGGTGGACAAGTTTATTTCTTTGGGAAGCGATGCTAGCAAAGAAGTTTTTCACAAAGGCGCGAGCGCCATCCATCGCTTGATCCGTGTGCTCAGGATACTGCACAGCACAAAGGAGCCAGTCAAATGAGTTTACAATTGTCTCATTTATAAATCACATCCTGATCAGCTTACCTCGCCATCCTTCTTGATCTTGTCGGACTCACCCTCCACTTTTTTGTGAATAGATTCTGCGCGACCTTCCTGTCCTGTTTTGACAGCTTCAGAGGCCTTGGTAGTCTTCTCATAAGATCCTTTAATTTTCTGTGAGGCTTGCGAGGCCTGCTCCTGAAAGCTCCTAGCTGCTTCCTCCGTCACAGAGCCCATCTCACTCAGTTTCTCCTTAGCAGCCTTTCCAACACTCTTATACTGCTTCTTTGTCTTCTCTAGCTCCTCGAAGGATTTCTTAAGCTCCTCGTTTTTCTCCATCTCGGTCTTAAGCTGGTTCTTCAAGTCTGAAAAAATACCCATGGAACGCGACTGCAAATGAATATATATCGACACATGAGAGTGAGAGCACTGGCGACGTGTGGTAACTAGCCGTGCGTGGCGCAGGGTCCGCGAAGGAAGGCGGAGCATTAGCGTTTAGTATTAGAATGAGACTGTTTCATAAATCGTACATAGACGAAAAACCAGCTGTATTTGACGCGCTGCGTCTCCACCAGCCAAATGCACCAAGATAATCTATAGCAAGCTTGTCTATCCGCTTTCCGATATGCGAGTATCAACTCGCACAGAAACGTCACACTCCACTGGTTGCCGCTACATTTAGTTAGCAAAATGAGCAAATCACGACGCAAAGAAACGAGCATATCAGAGGAGACCATGCCATTTACCGAGGTAAAAGAGTCTGCTGCTGTAACGACGCCAGATAGAGATACTGGTGCCGAGGTAGCGGACCAGGAGCAGAAGAAGATACAGCGAAAGCATTTGAAAAAGAAAAAGAAGCAGCGAGATGAGGCTGAAAGTGCTGAAAAAGAAGAGGAAGTGCCCGTAAAGACAGAGGTAGACGACAAGCAGGATGAGGAGACGGAGCATGCGATTGCTGAAGCCGCCAACCTCGGATTGACCGAGGTAGACGAGCGCTACTTTTCTAGCGAGGAGTTCGCATCACTACCGCTATCCGAGCCCACGCGCAAGGCTCTGACTGACATGGGCTTTACTAAGATGACCAAAATACAGTCCAAGTCGATTCGACCGCTGTTGGCTGGTCAAGATTTGCTGGGTGCAGCCAAGACAGGTTCTGGTAAGACGCTGTCTTTTCTAATTCCGGCGGTGGAGCTACTGCACAAGGTGCGCTTTACGGCGCGCAAGGGCACGGGCTGTATTGTTATATCTCCGACGCGCGAGCTGGCGCTGCAAATATATGGCGTTGTGCGCGATATTTGCAAATACCATTCGCAGACACACGGTATCGTTATGGGCGGTGCCAACCGTCGTGCTGAGGCTGAGCGCCTGGTAAAGGGCGTAAATATACTGATCTCTACGCCTGGTCGTCTGCTGGATCACTTGCAGAACACTAAGGCTTTCATTTATCACAACCTGCAGATTCTCGTGATTGATGAGGCCGACCGCATACTTTCTATTGGTTTTGAAGAGGAAATGCGCCAGATCATTAAGTGTATTCCAAAGGAGCGCCAGACCATGCTATTTAGTGCTACGCAGACGAAGAAGGTGGAGGACCTTGCTCGATTATCAATTAAAGAAAAGCCAGTGTATGTCGGCGTAGAAGAGGAAGACACCAATGCTACGGTGGCTACGCTTGAACAGGGTTACGTCGTTACCCCCAGTGATAAGCGCTTTCTGCTGCTCTTCACATTCCTCAAAAAGAATTTGAAAAAGAAAGTGATGGTTTTTTTTCGTCATGCAATGCCGTCAAGTTTTACGGCGAACTTCTCAATTACATTGACATTCCTGTACTGGACATTCACGGAAAGCAAAAACAAAACAAGCGTACGACAACATTCTTCCAGTTTTGTAACGCGAAGACCGGTATTTTGCTCTGTACGGATGTAGCGGCGCGTGGTCTTGACATTCCGGCTGTGGACTGGATTATTCAGTTTGACCCTCCTGATGATCCGCGCGAGTACATTCACCGCGTGGGTCGTACCGCTCGCGGTGCTAAAGGAAAAGGTAAGGCACTGCTTATGCTTTTGCCTGATGAGCTTGGTTTTCTTAAGTACCTGAAGGCTTCAAAGGTGGCGCTTAATGAGTATGAGTTTCCTCTTTCGAAGATTGCTAATGTTGAATCTCAGCTCATGAAACTCGTGGAGAAGACGTATTACCTGCACAAATCGGCCAAAGATGCATACCGTGGATATTTGCTGGCGTACGCCTCGCACTCGTTGAAGGGCATTTTTGATGTCGGTCGTCTTGATATGCAAGGGGTGGCCAAGTCTTTCGGACTACAGGTTCCGCCTAAGGTGACTCTTCCTGTGAAGACGAGCGGCAAGATTGGTAAGCGCAAGGGTACTTCGTTTGATAATGATCGTGGTGGCAAGTTCCAGCGCTCAGGCCACGCATTTAGTGCCGACAATCCATACGGCAAGCGGGCATCTGGTGACAAGCGCCAGTTTGCTCACTAATAAGGTAAAGCCGGCTGTGATTTACCAGCACTATGTAAACAACGACCTTCTGCCACTTTATGTTTTTTTTGATAAAGCAAGCTACATACTGTTCTCCTATTGTATGTTTACCCATGCGGTATCTGCTGACAACATTACTAAAAAGTCTTTTCGCGGACAGTTCATTTTTACTGAGTCTATATTGAAGGAAGCGAGGATATAGGATGATGTCACTTGCACTGTCGACCTTGCAATGATCCTACTCATATAGCAATCTCATTGTACAACACTTGCAGCTTACACTCGTCTGCAAGAATCACATAACTTAAAAGCTTACGCTTAATACATCTCCTTTGTATGCGTCGCGCCAGCGCATGGAAGAAATAGTTTTGATATACGAAGCTGCTTGGTTAGGTAGATTGATCTCGAACGCGTACTAAAAAAAGACTTGTCAAAGTTATAAATGGTTAAATGGCTCACATACTACCGCTTAGTAGCTAATTAAAAAAAACTCTGTCACTGCTTGGCTCCGAATGTCCTTGGTCCTCATCTCTTTTTCTCATGTTCTTCTTGGCAGGGTTCATTGTGACAATATCGCTTACGCCTTAGAACGCATCTCGTGTGGCGCCACGAACACCTTCAGGAAGCTGCTATTTTTCTTTGCAATGCGGGAGTATGCTTCGGGCACCTCCTCGAGAGCCAAGCGGTGAGAAATAAGCACCGATGGGTCCAGCTCACCACTCTCAATCGCGTAGAACACCTGTGGATAATATTTCTGCGCCGGAGTACGGCCAGCGTGGACCGTCACACTCTTCATAGCGACGTGGCCTAACGGGAACGATTCCACCGAGCTCATGTAATCGGACACTATCGAAATGTGACCGCACTTGCGCACGATCATAAGCATTTCCTTTATTGTATCCGCAGGCTCTGGCTTCTTCTCCATGCCCATTGTCTTTTCCAACGTAGCCAAAAATCCGCCCGAAGCTGAGCCGCCACTTGCATCAATCACCGCATCAGCGCCGGCAGGCGGAAGCGCTTCTTGCAGCTTAGCCACCACCTGAGCGCTGGATAAATCGCGACGGTCGACCACCTCCAAGTTCATGTGATCATGAGCGAACTTAAGACGCTCTAGGGAATATTCAACTCCCACCACCTTCTTGGTACCGCGCAGCTTGCACCAGTGAGCTGCTTGAAGGCCGATAGGACCAAGACCCCAAATAACCACAGTGTCGCCCTCCTTCACCTTGGCTGAATCTACCGCATGAAGCGCTGTAGCAGTCGTCTCCACTCCTAGTACGGCCTTGTCATCGCTCACACCTGACGGCAACTTAAAGCAGTTGACGTCGGCATACGGCACACGCACATACTCAGCCTGCACACCCGGAACGTTTCCAAGCATGCGGGTGCTTCCCAGCACAGCAGCGGGGGCCCAACCACCATACTTCTGTTTAAACTCTTGGGATTCATTCGTGCAGTTGCATGACGCATACTCTTGTCGACGGCAATGACGGCATTTCCCGCATGCCAGCACAAAGCTTACAGCGACGCGGTCACCTTCTTTGAGCTTCTGCACGTTTGCACCCACGCTGTCGACGATACCGACGGCTTCACTGCCCAACACCTGGTTCTTTTCCAGCCCAGAACCACTTCCGCAAACATCGTTCGCGAAGTCTGGGCTCACAGAACACGCAGTCACTTTCACCACCACATCTGACGCTTCCATGATCTTCGGCTTCGGAATGTGCTCCAATTTGACAGACTTGCCTGTCCACACAACGGCGCGCATGCAGCCAGCTGAGTCCTTGGTGCACGAATCTTGGCCGTGAAGGTGGGCACTCGACATCATTTTGGTAGCAGTGTCCATAGTAGTAAGTTTCAGTCGCTCTGGTGTCTTCGTTTGTGTGTCACTGGGAATGCAAAAGCGGATATGATATCAATGGTGGCGTTTGGCCGATTCCGTTTCTTGGGTAAACCCAAGCCAACTGTCTTGAGCAGCGAACGTGAGCGACATGCAAACTCCTGTCCCTGTGGACCCGAGTTGAAGACATCACCATACGATACGCAAATTGAATAAGTTTCGTAGACGATACTTGGAATGGTTACTTACAGTTGATATCGGGGAGAGGGATCAAATGGTTGTACATCGCAGCTTCCCACGTAGATCCTGGTGTCCACGTTCCTCAAGTTGAAACCGTTAAGTATATAAACCTTTTTAAAAAGATATAAAACTCTATCATTGAGTTCCGAAAGTCATTTACCATCGCGAACTAAATGTCACCCATCGTGATGTCCAGACGACGTGACAAACTCGATTGCCAGTCAAACTCCTAGAATGACACAATCATCTTTTGTAAGCAGCATTAACGTAACGACATGTCGTCTTTGGCGACGTGCCTATGGCTGCAAAGGAGACCCTTCAATAAGCAGAGTTCATAATACGCCACTCACGTGAAGTCGTTGCCTCCATTTGCGTATGGCGGCAGCGCCGGAGTCAGCCTCGTGGATTAAACTCAAACATTCCTCGCCGACAGCGAAAACCTAAGGTGGATTTACGTAGCCATGTCGACTGCGTCGTAGTGGGCAAGATGATGACGATACTTATAGAAAGAAAAGGAAGAAGCACTTGATTAGCACTTATCAAGAATACAAAAATCTTACTACTTGATTTGTAGCCATTTAATTGTGCCACACGTGGCGACACTGATTTATGTATACACATCTCCTGCACAAATCTTTCTTCTTGTGTATGCGAACTCTACCAGCATGATTTTGTGATCTGATGTCGCACTAATCTTTGCACCTACGCGGAGGTGCCTGGTGTCCGGTTGTAAGAGTCCCATACTGTATAATTGCATGTATAAATAAACCCCGTTTTGGAAATCGTACTTATTATGACATCCATCAATCGGAATTTAATGTTGCATGGAAGTTGCTGGATAGAGTACTGACATTGTTTAGCAACTGTCAGGCAACTGCTGGTCTGCTTGGAGGTGAGCCTCAGACCGTGATTTCCAAGTTTACAACGTAAGAAGCAGACCCCCCAGTAGAAGAAGATTTATAATGGCTCTCCGTCGTGTACTGACCTCCAGCAAAACCTTCAAGGCTTCTTTAAGCCTGCTACGCCGCTCTATGGCTAGCACGACTGACAAAATGACTGTTCGTGACGCACTTAACACCGCATTGGACGAAGAGCTCGCCCGCGACGATGAAGTTTTTCTTATGGGTGAAGAGGTCGCGGAATACAACGGCGCCTATAAAGTCTCGAAGGGATTGTGGGAAAAGTACGGTGACAAACGTATCATTGACACGCCTATTACGGAGCAGGGCTTTACGGGTTTGGCTGTCGGTGCCGCCTATCACAACACGAAACCGATCGTTGAATTCATGACGTTTAATTTCGCCATGCAAGCCATTGACCAGATCATCAACTCGGCCGCTAAGCAGTTTTACATGTCTAACGGTGATATTAGCGTGCCTATTGTCTTCCGTGGCTCCAACGGTCCCGCTGCTGGTGTTGGTACGTATCTTTTGTCGTTTTTTTATCTCGCTCTTTACGTCATCAAGTCGTTGACTTTTTTCTTTTTGTCAACATGATCTTTTCAGCCGCACAGCACTCGCAGTGCTATGCTGCGTGGTACGGCAGCGTACCCGGCCTTAAGGTAGTGGTCCCTTACGACTCGGAGGACGCTCGCGGTTTACTTAAAGCTGCCATTCGTGACCCCAACCCCGTTGTGGTGCTAGAGAACGAGCTATTGTATGGTGTCTCGTTCCCCGTGTCTAAGGAAGCACAGGACAAGGACTTCACGATCGAAATCGGCAAGGCCAAGATCATGAAGTCAGGCAAGGACGTCACGCTGGTCGCTTTCTCCCGCATGGTGGGTGAGGCTTTGGAGGCTGCTTCTGTTTTGGCCAAGGAGGGTATTGATGCCGAGGTGATCAACCTTCGTTCGATCCGCCCGTTCGACCGTCAGGCCATTATTGACTCGGTGAAGAAGACCAACCGTATGGTGTCAATCGAGGAGGGATGGGGTCAGCACGGTATTGGTGCCGAAATTGCCGGTATCATCATGGAGACTGAGGCCTTTGACTACCTGGACGCTCCTATGGAGCGCGTGACGGGAACGGACGTGCCCATGCCATACGCTGATAACCTGGAGAAGTTGTGTTTGCCCCAGGTCGAGGACATCGTTGCAGCCGCTAAGCGCACGGTGGCGCGCAACCTCTAAGCAAAACTTGTCAGAAACTGAGAAGGAAAACCATGGGTCATCGGCGCCATCTCGATCTTGATCTTTGGAATTTTGCGCTATGTAGGAAAGCAGGGCGAGGCTTAACACTTGCTCACTAATGGCTACGCCTTGAGAAGCATCGTGCGCAAAGACAGAAAGAGTGGCATGGCCGATGGTAGGAAGGGTGTTACTAATCAAACCCGATAGACAACAACGCACCGGTACACCCATGTTTTGATGTTATGGCCTGCATGCAATATATCCTCCACACAGTCTCTTTATGTAAATGTAAAAACTGAAATATCTGCTAAGTGCGCCATCTCTCATACGCGGCCTAGAAACCAAACTCACCGAAAAAGTCGACATCTTTCGCGGGCTTCGTCTCTTTTACGAGAGGAGCTGAAGACGGTGCCGCAGCGACAGCAGCTGAACCATTGCTATTCGTAGCAGAAGCTACAGACGAAGAAGAGAGCCCAAGCAGATCGTAATTGCTGCCATTTGTACTGGACGACGAAGACCCAAACAAGTCAGACGTCGGAGCTGGCTTAGGCTGCTGCGGCGGTGTGTAGAAACTGCCACTGTTGGGATTGGAGTTGCTACTACCACTGTTGCTGAGCTGCGAGTCCAACCACGAGTCGTTGTTGTGATCACGGCTTGTGCTACTGTTACCACTGCCAATACCTGCATACTTGCTGGAGGTAGGCAACTCATCGTTGGTGCGAGGGAAGGCGCTACTCATACCAGCTAAGTTGTCATTCGCACTGCCATTTCCATTCACTGCAGTCTGGGCGGTCTGTAAAAGCGCCGACGCGCCACTGGAAAGCACTGACCAGCCAGATGTGGCAGAAGACTTGACATTATTTGAAAGTGCCGGATCCTGCATTGCGTTCTGCACGTAAGACCAGCCCGACGATACCTTGGATCCTAAGTCTTGGTCTTTCACGAGGCTGGCAGCCGAGCTAGCGGCCGTCGTGACTGTACTTGTAATGAAGCTAAAGGCACCCGAGAGGTCGCCTAGGCCACCAGACGAAGCCTGGCGTGCCCGCGTTTCTCCACCACTTCCAATGCCCTGCATACCATTACTACCAAACTTGGCAGCCATGCGGGCACGAGCCTCTTCACGCAGTTTCATCTGACGAGCAACGTAATCCTGCTCCGACTCACCTTTGAGCGCTTCAACGCCACGCGTATCTCCTCCAGCTGAGCCTCCACCCGAATATGAAGCGGATGAGAAAGAGGAAGAAAACGGCTTGTTCATGCTCGAGTCCCATGGAGGCAGCGACTGTGAAGCCCGACCTTCGACAATTGCCGTCAAACGTTGGCGATAGGCCTCCGCCTGTGGCGTGTTGTACTTTTCACCAATAGAGAGGTCTTTAGGGACTCCAGCAGCAGAGAATGCCGCACGGAATGAATCGTTTCCTCCATTTTGCATCTGCATCACCTGTTTATCCGTCCATGAGTCCATGGTGACAGACCTCACAAACGAGATGTGAACACCCAATCCACGATGACGACCAGAGCACTCGAGACACATAAAGGTGCCGTATGAAACGGTTGCCCATTGAGGGTACGGGGCATCACAATCCACGCAGCGCTACATACAACAGGTAACAATTAGTGAGTGAGTTATTCCCAATATGAAAGACTTTGACATTAGACGACAGAGAGCCGTACGTTATTTCCCGGCAATTGTCGTAGCTCCTGCTGGGTCTCCATGGGCATTTGATACGTCATTTTATTTTAGACTCTGTCTAGTCGATATTGCTGCAATAAAACGATGAAGAGAGATGATAGAAATCGCGTGACTACAGCTCAAAAGAATGTCTCTTGCCACCTACGGAGGAAGAGGTCGACACAATTACTGACAAACCGTTACTGACGCACAATTTTAGTGGCTAAAAATATCAATCAAATCAGCTAATCACAAACTGCCAGGAAGTCAAATGGGTGCATAGAAAAGAACAAGTGACGTATATTTTCATTGATGGCGGAATGACACGGCCTGCGTATACTGCGGCCGTTTGAGAATCTGATACATCAGCAAATTAAGTCCAATGAAGCTGCTTACAATCAGCGCCAAGTAGGTCGCAAAGCTTTCGTATCCGCGTCCGCAGATCATGTACCATGAGTCCTCGTATAGCAGTTGCGTGACCGGATAGTTGCATAAATTGAATGCCTCGTTGAAGTCGTGCACACAGAGATACTTTTTGCGGTGGTGTTTCATACCCATGAGTGAATAAAACCACTCACTCTCAAGACACTTCCCCAGTGGTTGATGATGGCCCAGTGACACGATCTCCGTGGGGTTGATAAACAATGTTAGTAGCACTAGGACAAAGTAGAGCAAAAACACCATCTGGTTTATGGCATGGTCAATGCACGAGGACAACCAGTCGCTATCGTAAGCATCCATAGGCTCCAAAGCTTTTTGTACATCAGGCGAGTCTACGAATGATAGGCACATGTAAGTATAGTATTTATCTAGCGACATGATAGTGGAAGCTCAGAATAGCGTACCTCTCTCTCGATCAGCCATCCAGACGAGTAGCAAGCTCAATCCGATCAATATAAAGAAGGATACCTGTATCCAAAGTCAGATCTTTCTCTCTTGCAACAAAAGAATATGTTGCCAATTGACAAACCTGCGCTTGAATTCCCATGAGATGAACGGGTGTATAGTAGCCCAAAATGAGAAAGCAAACGGCAAAACTGGTGGTAATAAGTGGCATCAACAAAACATAGCCCCACTCGGATTTCCAGCGTTTCTCCTCGTAGTAGTCGCCCGTAAGCCAAGTGCTAAAGTATAAATCACCACAAGTTAGTAAACACGATCCTTGATCCACGCTTGCTTTAAGCAACTACCTCACCTGCGCAGAATAAAGTGCACACAAAGAAATGCAAAAGCAAAGAAGTAATTGTAAAAGAGTAAGTGACATGGTACGCCCATCAAGCGGTCAGCAAGGAGAGGATCTGTATCGTGCCACGTCCACCAAAGAAATTTGGTGCCTAACAGCTCAATTGGGAATAGCAGCATCAGCATCAACGACCCCATCACAAACGGTTGGAAGAATGGATCGATGCGCAATCGCGACGTCACAACGAACGCTCTGTTCAACGCATAAGTCAAACCACACGTCACATGATTAACTCTCCTATCGCTTATTTAACTCCACACTCACATGTAATAGAGCTGAGCCTGTAGTAGCACAGTATACAGAGGCAGATGTTCAGATACCAGCATCACTAGCGCCTGCGCATGCCAGCGGTCACTGTGATAGAAAATCAGCTCCACCACGAGAACTTGAAGCATTGCAGCGAGTAACATGGTGGCGTTGCGTTTGCCAGACGAGTGCACATGGAGCAAAAGAAGAAAGAGACTGAGGTATGTGGCTCCCTCCACTATTGCCAGCGAAATATTTTCGTTCAGTGGCCCCAGAAAGGCGATCGGCATGACAAGGGACGTCGTCACCATTTTGGGTGGTCAATTATGTTAAAGCAAATGATTTTTGACAGTGCCAGGATGATTCATCAGTTAATGGGATTGTAATATGGCTACAATTTGTGGTGACAACTTTGCTACATGAACTTCCCATCGTGAGGAAGGCCGTCGTTTGCGCTTGACCAACGTGATCTGAAGACTCGACAGACCACGAATAGAAGGACACCAAGAAGAACTAATAGAAGTAATGTGGTCGAGACAGAGGCGTCTCCAACCCCAGCTAATGGCCTCTTGAGATCGGTAGTGGCGTCGCTGCGGTTCAACACGAAATTCTCAGCCTTTTCCTTCCATGTCTCAACAATCTGAGCTCCCGCATCTTCAGACTCCTGCTGATCAGGTTCTTCTTCTTGCTCAAAGTCTTTCGGGATGTAGCAAGTTCGCCCCTCGTAATTGTTGTCGCAAGAGCACATGCCATTCACACAATTGCCATGGTCGCTGCAGTGTTCTCGATACACACACTCAACTGTGCGTTCAGATGCTGGAAAATCTTCCAGATTAGAGTACCCGCTAGAGAGTGATTTTAGATACCGGTCGAATGCAATGTCGTATTCGGAAAGCTCGGTGTCTAGAAACTTGGACAATTTCTGCTCCAGCGACGGAAACACAAGGTTAAAGCTGCCGCGTCGAGCATACTCCATCGATGCGGCGAACAGTTTGCGCGCGACATTCGGTGCAAACCACCCAGGGCAAGACCAGCAGGTAGGGTCCCATGCACGATTCTTGTCGTGACACTTGTCCGAACAGAATATAGCGTCAGCAGGGAGGAAGAATCTTTCAAACGGAAGCCTAGCTTGAGGATGCACGCCCACAAGATTAATGAGATCATACAGCAGCTGCTTCTTTATAGCTTCGTCAGTAGCGAGTACGGACTGCGTGGCTTCCATTAAGGGGTTGGAAACTACACGAAGAAGCCACGGCTTGCCTCCACTGTCGAATTCAAAGTTGACCTTCCACATTTCAAAGAAATTATCGCTGAGATCTGACGGATGGCGTCCCTCACCTTCACCTGCACGCTTCACTTTGGCTTGCTCGCTCTTGAAATTACCGCGGTTACTGAGCACCACCTTGGCGATCGTAGCATCCACATTATCCTGCAAATGCTTCGTGTCAATTCCTTGTCGCCGTAAATAACGCTTCAGAATATACCATGCATTCGTTCCTTCCCTGGTAGCAGATGGTAGTTCTTGAAAACATGTTTGCAGATCCGGAAAGTCCCACGGAGAGATGTACTGGTCAAAATTATAGGCGGCAGGATCAGTCTCAACCTCTAACCTTCTTGGATACTCAGCCTTAGCGATCTGGATCAATGGGTGATTGTAGACGTACACACGTAGCGGGTCGATAGACGTGACAACTACGTAAAATCCAACACGAAACTTGTGGTTATCTAACAGCAGCGGCTCGACGAACTGGTCCACTACGACCGTCTTCCCCTTAAACGCACTCGACTGCAGTTTCGACTGCAAGTCTGCATCAGTAACAAAAACCTCAGCATGAGTGGTCAAGTCATCATCGCCGTTGACAGCACGTTCGCGCAGCAGAAAGCGCCGATGTACATTAGGGTCGTATCCGCGCTTGGGCGACATGTCGGATTTCTTGCGCACGTCCGTGTACGCTTTAGTTAGCTGTGCCAGGTCACGTGGCAGCTCGTAGTGTGCCGGCATAAAGTCGAAAAAGAACTTGGCGTGTTTTCTCTGTTGCAAGGCCAAGTGTTGGCTTAATGCGTCCGGCGACGTGAGCTGCTCAGCCCCTGGCAGATGGTTCACTTTAGCGTCAAATTGGTGCGGAAGCTCCAGCTGTGCAAACGGAGGGGATGCAGTTACGCTCCACACAAGGTCAAACGATGCGTTTTCAGTCGACAGTTTGTCCCAGGACGCTTGGTTGTCTGCGGCTTGGTACTGGGAAAAGCCCAGCTCTTTCAGCTGCTGTATCACTGGCTCAAGCTTCTGCTGCGGTGGCGTTTCGGGGAAGTAGAATTGCCCATGCGTGCGTGCGATTGCTACGACGCAGACGTTGACGCATTGGAGGAGCACCAGCAGATACAGAAGCGATACGTGTCGTCGCCCCGATAATGTCGTCATGCTTTTGCTTAAAGAGAGAGAATCTTTGAGTGGCAGCCCTTTGCACAACTATTTAAAGATTATGTCTATTAGCTTTTAAATTTAGCAGTGATTGTGCATGAAAACACTACTTGACTATCATGTTTGAGCAAACGTACAGTTAAACTAGCAAATGCTAATGGACACTGGCTAATGTTTGATTATCTCGGAGTTATATCTAAGCGGAGGCTAGTTACGGACGCTCTTAATACCAAAATCATGTGTCGTCTTTGTCATTCTCGTCTTTGTCTAGCAGAGCTTGGGGATCTCGATGGCTGCATCACGGAAGGCCTTAAAGGGAGCAAGATCAGGGAACAGTTGCTGCTTCAGAACGGCCTGGAAGCTCGCATTCGGAGAGGTAACAGCGCAGTCCTGCAGGACTGCAAAGGATGCGAACGCACTCGTGTGGAATCCCTGGCGTTGCTTGTGTTTGGGACTGCGATCACAGATTACATACACTTTTCTCCGTCGACGAACGACCTTGCAGCCATCGCACATGCGCTTTACAGACGAACGAACCTTCATGACGCGTGTACGGGTTCTCGTTGGTGAATGGCTTGTACACTCTTTAATGTGTGTACACACTTTAATGTATTTTTACAAAAATTCTTTACAATGTTGACGTATAGTTTGCAAAGCTACTGTTGACATAGTGATCTCTCGTACAAGTATCGAGAACTTAAGTGATACTACAGTAAAATAGAAATGGCGAAGAAAGTAGAAAATGGTGACAGAAAAAAGATGGTAAGGTCTAAACCAACGACAATAGACCAAGAGCATACCACAGTGGTGGAGAATGCTCATGCCGCTGACGATGACGAGGATCGGCCGTTCATGGTGCGCGTGCTGACAGTAGGCGTGTCGTCGTATCTGGCTCAAAAAGTCTGGATAAAGAGAAAGATGCTGACAGACGGTTGGTACACGAAGGAGATGACAGAGACACAGCAGATCATGGTAACTGCTTTTGAGTACATGAGCGCCATGGGGCTCATCTTCGTTATCGGTATCGTCGTAGGCATCGTCATAAACAAAATGGCAAAATGGGTCAAGAAGGAGCAACAAAAAGGATCAAAAAGGGGAAAATAAGGGTCTGTCCGGATAACAAATATGAGAGACTTGACAAGTATAATTAAAAGAGAGAAGGTGGTTTATACAATCCATAGTGAAGCCAAGTTTATTTTAACTCCATACTCGCTTCCGCGCACTTTTTCCAACTAATTTTGTAAACATTCGTTAGTATGGCTCCTAGTCGGCGACGTGTCGGCCGCACGCTCCGTCGTTCTCGTCGTCGCACCGCCACTTACAGCAGCACAAGCACTCGCTCTACATCTGGACTCGGACCATTACAGGCCATTGGTGAGAACACTATCGTAGAGCTTACAGGAGACGACGATGCACTGGTCAGCGACACACGCTTTGGTCTTCCGTCTATGACGTTGGGAATTTCGTCACCTAAGAAGAAGCAAAAAAACTTGCGAAAGAAGAATAAGAAGACAAAGAAAAGACCACGAGAGTCGACGCTTTTCCGACGGGAGGAAGACCGCTTGCAGCAGCTGGAGATGCTACTGGATGAGCTGGAGACTCAAGGTCTCGACAAAAGTTCTTGGTATTGTATGAATATTGCTGATTCATCTTCTTTTTTTATGCACAGTGCAGGAGCAGTGTGACGAAATAATGGCAGATGCTGAGAGACGTGCGCAGGAGCTTGAGGTAGAACTCAAGATGCAGCTGCTTATCATGCCGGCGGCTGTGCGGCAGATGCCCTGGAAAACCTTCGTAGAGGATTTTGGTGGAGACTTAAACAATGCCGTTTACAGTCTATCCCAATTGCAAACATCTCCTTCGAGCATTAGATCCTCCATGGCTCGTCATGACATTGTAGCTGCTATGCCATGCGTCGTTGCGGACCATGAAAAAAGTGACGAGGATGAGAATGACGACACCGATCACACCTCAAGGGATCACCGTCTGTCGGTATTTATGACGCCCCTAAATGGTCATCGGACGGAGACAGTCCCGCGCACTGTTTTGCGGACAGCACGTAAGGGAGAAACCACCTATTCAATTCGAGGCTCCCCCATCATTCCCGACACTGTGGCAAAGGCGCCTGCTGGATCATTGGTTGCTACGTTTGAGAAGGGGTTAGAACCAACAACTTGCTTACGACTTGACAGTGAGCGTGTCCTTAACTTAGCCCGGCCAGAGGAACTCTCTGCGCAATCGCGCGGAGAAGCCACATCCAAATTAAAAGCGCTTCAGGCCAAGATCGCGCAACTATTACAGCAGATTAACCCTTGCGTTCATTAAAGCGTTACCTACGCTGTACACTGACAAACGTTGTGTCCAGCCACACACGCCAAGTGCAAACTCGACACCTGGCCTTTCGTTGTAGTGAATATTCTACGATTACACACAAGCACATTAATCAGTTGCTCGCGCTTGCACAAGAAAAGTAAAGTACCATGTTTGCAAGAATTTTTACGTACTATATTTCCGACGACTCGAAGCACCCATGAGGATGTCAGTGAATTAATGTGAAGAGGAAGGCGTAGATCTTGTGAACGTTGTAGTTCATACTGTAAGTTGTATCCTCCGTTTTGGCAAGCAAGTTCACATCGGCTCTTGCTCTAGTCTTTTTGTCGATCGTGGGGCACGACAGTCCATTGCTATTAGCTGACGACGTGACCCTGATGCTCTAATGACCAGCACCCTCACCAATGCTTTCGGAATTGCAATTCCGCATATCATTATAGGTGTCAGCGAAAAGCGTGGTAAACAACAAGCTTCAATGTATCTCGCTATTTTTGTTCACTTGCTAAACGAGTGAGGTTGGCATCACTGTGTAGTGGCGGAGATATTTTTTGCAGGAAAGAATGGCTTCTTGCACTTAGCGTTGCTCCCAATATTCCAGTTAAGTTGGCAAAAGCGGAATGTCAATAATTCGGTGTTTGCCAAGACACTTCTACTCGACAAAAACAATTGGAAAGTGTTTGATGAAGCAGTGTCTGCTGGCATTCCGAAGCACTTTTCGGTGGCGCTTGTATACAAGATAATCTTTTTGTCCAATAACAACTTAGGTCTTCTCAATTTTGAAGGTGGCGACCGTCGTATGACATGAACAGTGGTGGCATGCTCATACCTCCATGTCCAAAACTCCAGCGTAGTACTCCCGACATTCTGCACGACCACTCATTTAGGAACGGTATTAAACTCACGTAGCGCACAACTTAGCAGACAAGCTGATTGCAATTCTTGAAGTGGTGATTGGGCTTTTTGCAGAACCGAGGAAAAATGGTGTCTTTGTGGCTCGAATCGTGCACAGACACATAGCTGTTTCAGAAACAACGTATCCTTCAAGTATATAGCTTTGTGCGCACACACCAGTCTATCATCGTCTTCGTCGTCATCAACGCCACTTGATCCTGAGCGTCGTGAGCTTTGGTCGTCTTGCAGTCGTCAGTGGATAGAACTTGTAATTAAACATGTCATTGTCGACGCTGACGATTGATCCAGCCCGCCTCACTACCCAGCAAAACGTCGAGAGGTGATCACCGTGATGTGACTCCATGTGTCGCACCACTTATACATTGGCCTGGAAGCCCAAATGTTAAATCTGCACACGATAATCTTTCCAGGCAACCCTGCATGATTAAAGAGTGTCAAGAATAGCAATGCGAAACTGCCTATCAAGCATTTTCGTGATGAGGTGCTCGTGTTTGAGCACCATCCAATGCCCAAGGTCGGGCGAGTCATCTGATAAGTAAGGCTAAAACGAACAGCACCTGCGTACTCCCGATGCCACTCAGGATTTCAATCGTCTTGTCGAGGATGATAGAAACTCGACACCACCGTTGCATGGATGGCGTCGACGATGAGAGTCCAAAGAGTTTGAAAAAACGATGAAGAAGGGGTAAAGTGAAAAAAGCAAGGCATTGCAATCGGACTGATACTTAACAACTGATGAACGTTTCAGGACGCGTAAAAACTCCGGTGAATCGACGTAATGAAGCTATAAGGTGCACAGAGCTTGAAAAAAACTCATACGACCTACTGAGACGCCTACACGAACAAATCGCTGGGACGGAGTTGAGTACTAAATCCTTTGAAAATATCACCGCAAACGTGTTCAAACTGGTTTAAGCGTCTTTGTCGGCAACGAAGAGATGGTCCGCAAAGCTGAAGCAACGAAATTCTTGGTCGGGGAAGAACAAAATCAACTTGGTCGCACGGAGAAAAGTACAGATTGATCGCCTTAAAGAGCGGGAACTACCTGCTCCTTCCTTCAAAAGAGTGGTTTCAGTGTTTCAAATACTGAAACCACGATACCAGAACTGCGACATTCTCTGGCGAAATGCTAGTAGCTATTCGACCCTTTACCGGACCCGGTTCTATACCCTAATGACACGAATGTCACTGACCCATTGAAAATGGTTGCTACTAGCGTGGAGTTGTTCAACAACACCAGAACAAGCGACTGATAATAAGAAACTACTCGTACCGGATTCTCAAAGTCAATTGTCAAGCCATATTTGATCGAACCCAACATTTGCTCTGGGTCGACCGTCTCGCTGCCCAACGGCGTGCTTTTTACACGGCGTCAGAATACACACCTTAGCTCTTAATCTCAATCGTGACTGACTTGCATCCGTTGTCTGGACCAAATGGATCTACCGATCCGCCTGCGGCCCCCGTTGAGGAGGCTGTTGTTGCTGCTGGAGAATACGGTCGCTGGGCGACGCAGTAGATCGTTGCTGCTGCTGTTGCATTAGCTGCAAGTGGTGATGGAGTGCTTGATGCTGCTGCATCTGATGCTGGTGAAGCTGCTGAGCTTGGTGCTGCTGCTGGTAATCATGATGCTGCTGCTGCTGTTGGTGCATTTGCTGATGGTGATGCCCTTGAAACTGATACTGCTGGAGTTGCTGATATTGCTGCTGCTGGTGAGCCTGTTGTTGCTGAGCTTGTTGTTGAGCTTGCTGCTGAATTTGTTGCTGTTGAGCTTGTTGCTGTTGAGCTTGTTGCTGCTGAGCTTGCTGCTGTTGAGCTTGTTGCTGTTGAGCTTGCTGCTGTTGAGCTTGCTGCTGTTGAGCTTGCTGCTGTTGAGCTTGCTGCTGTTGAGCTTGCTGCTGTTGAGCTTGCTGCTGTTGAGCTTGCTGCTGTTGAGCTTGTTGCTGTTGAGCTTGTTGGTGTTGAGCTTGTTGGTGTTGAGCTTGTTGCTGCTGAGCTTGTTGCTGTTGAGCTTGCTGCTGCTGGGTTTGCTGCTGTTGTTGCATCGCACTGTTGTAGCGTGCCATGTTTGCTGCCATGTCCAGAGCTTGCTGCCGTGCTTGCTGTGCTTCTTGAAGAGCACGGGCAGCAGCAGCAGCGGCAGCTGCTGCTCGAGCAGCTTCTTCCTCCGCGCGTTGAGCTCGTCGCAGCAATTCAGCTTCTTCAAAGCGGATCTGCGGTGCGTAGTTCCACATCTGCTGTTGGGCACGCAAGTCTCCTTGGGGTGGCGCATTTGAGACAACTGACGAAGTGGAAGACGCTGAGCCACTACGTGACAGCGCCACAGCCGATGTATTGTTTGAGTACGTTGAATCCATGTTTGACGCACTCGACGTCATTATCTCGCTTGAATTTGTACGCGCCATCGTGGATGACATCGTTGACGACGATGGCATACCGCTTACTATCGATGCAATAGCGCTACGCGACGCTATACCTGCACTGTCTGCCCTACTTGCATCGTAATAGCGAGCTGGCTGCGTTTGGCGCTGCATACGCTGCTGTTGATGGATCAAGGGAGACTGGTGTCCGGGTGTTGACGTCCTGCGTTCAGGTGACGGTACATTCAGTAGGCTCGACATCAAGCCCATCCTATTGTGCGGAGTTGGCACGGAAGATCGTCTTGGCAACAGGTGAGCGGTCGGACTCGGAGCAGAAACTGGAGATCGGGATAATTCAGCAGAAGGAGGAATCGCGCGCGCATGCTCAAGGTGAAGTGGTGGCTGATGTCGCTGTTGCATCAGCTGCTGTTGCTGGTCTCGCTGTAGTTGCCCTTGCTGTTGTCGGCACTGTTGTTCAGACATGCGAGGTGATTCCTGCTTCCGAATCACCATCGACCCATTTCCTCTGGGAGTGAAGTCATCCCGCGGCGATTCTGACTCGTTTAGAATGGATGAGAACGACATCCGGCTACAAACAGGCTGCACATGAGGTGGTGCAAAGTCATCTCGGCCATTCAATGCATTGTCTTGTGTTGTAGATGCGGTGGCTAAAGTGTCCTCACTTGTAAACCCTGCACTGGCGGCAGCATTCGTAGGGGTCGATGACAGAGCTGAGTGCCACGCAGGCTGCCTTGACTCCATATCTTGTGGTCTGCTTGTTTCCATCGCCATTGAGCGAGACGGGACCATGGGCTGGCATGGGCTACTGGAGACAGCACCTTGAAGCATCGCACTACCATTCCCCCCAGCCCCGTTTTTCATTATTGCAATATTCATCATTGAACGTTGAACGGCATCGTGATGTCCTATCACACCCGACGAGCTCCCAGCGTTACCCCTTATCAATCCACTTCCTCCATCCACCGCTGCACTTGTGTGCTGGGTACTTGTTGAGGACAAGTTCATTTGCACCCCCGCAGCTATCACTTGAGGGTGCTGAGCTTGAAGATGTCCTATGGGCTGATACAAAGCACTCTGATGTCCCATCTGCTGTTGCTGCATCGGAAGTGGTATCATTCGGGTGTGCACCGGGTTTTGAAACTGAGCCTGCAGACCCATTTGCTGCAGAGCTTGCATCGATAAATGCTGCGGGGGCACTTGATGCTGTTGCTGACGAGAAAATTGATACAGCCGCTGCGCATTCACTGTTTGCATTTTACTTTCGTGATATGAATTGTTGCTTTCTGCTCCCCCACATTCCGACGCCATTCCCTGCGACTTCTGTTGTTGTTGAAACTGCATAATCTGCAATTGATGTTGCATATTCAGCAGCTTTAAGTAACGCTCCGAGTTGGATGCCGGATTCATCGTTTCGCGAGATTGCTGCTGCTGTTGTTGGTCCTGATGGGCCTGCATAACGAACTGATTGGTTGATAGCTCTGACAAGCCATTCACGCCGTGCATCCCTGGCTGGGCTGCGCTTAAAGCAGCTTGGAAAGACATGCTCACATCACTCGCACTCATTGCCATTGATCCATCCGGCATTCCCACTGAGAGGCCTCCGGGGAGCTCAACTGAACGGCCCATTTGTCGCAACGTCCCGCTCATTAAGCCAGCGGCAGCGGACCTAGGGGATGCAACGATAGTACCACTCGTGGCTGCTGATGTAGGTACTATATGCGATACACCTTTGCCGTCTACGCATCCACCGACTACCGCGTTCTCGATCCGGCGCTTCAAAATATCTTGCAAATTCAACCGATTCTTGTAGTTTTGATAATAGTTCTTGATCTGAGCAGCGGTCTTTGTAGGAATATTTTCAGTAAGAGTCGTCCAATCTTTTCCATATTGCTATGCACAACAAGAGGAAGTGTCGTGAGGTCTTCACATCAAATCTGAAGAAATAAATAAACGTACCGAAAAAAACTTCAGAAAATCTGCCTTCTCTCCTTCGGTCCACTTCTGCACCACTCGCTTCGCAGGAACTGCTGCATTCGCATTATTCCCTCCAGCTGCAGCATTTGCTGATGGGGAAGATGTCCTTGCATTAGCATGAGGCGTAATACTCCCACCAGATACCTTTTTTACTGTCCCTCCAGTAAGAGCTGTAGTCGAAAGATCTGATGTCCCTGCTGACACTGCACTCGACTTAGGAGACGCATTCGTGAGATGTGACTGCGAAGAATTGGTCCGGCGTACACCTGGAGTGCCGCCGCCGCTTCGACTCAATTTCTTGACGCTTTGACCAGCTTTTTCTTCTGGAATTGAAATACGAGGGGGACCGCGATTACTTCCAGGAGTACCTGGCGCTGACGAAGAACTTGCAGCGTTTTTCTTTCTATTATGACTCCCACTTTTTTCTCCACCTGCACCTCCAACTGCTTGTGAGGAAGCTAACGTAATTGTTGCACCTGTTAGCGTAGCATCTCCCTCCTGCGTCTTCTTCATTTTTCGATGCTGTTTTGACTCCTTCATCGTATGCGTACAGCAATTTTTGAGGTTTCCCTGTGATCCGGCTGCCAAACTCTGTTGTTTGCTCTTCGTAGCTTCTTCAGACGCACCAGCAGAACTCATTTCCGCTACCGCATCAATAGCAGACTCAAGCTCCTTGCTCGGAGTTGGATACTTCTTCAACCGTTCTTCTACTGAATGGGTCGACACTTCGTAGCCCGTGCTGTACGAGTTATCAGTGAGTAGTGATGCATAATCCAATAGGAATGGCCGCTGCTGTCCTGCAATGAACTGTTCCAGCTGCTGGGTGTACAAGGTAAATTTCTCCTCGTCCGAAGTATCTGAATCTCCCGAATTAATAACATTGTCAAGCTGTACTTCCACTGACGATCGGACAGATGATGTGTGGTTTGTTCTAGACACCAAATCCAATGCAGACAAACCTTCAGCGGCAGCAGCAGCAACAACAGCACCAGAGCTGCTTACGGCGTTGCTGTTAGTCGTTTTACGGTTTCCCTCTACTTTTGCTTTAGAGCCACGCAAAAGACGCTGAGCGCCCGCTGAATTAAGAATATTATCAGAAGCCTGGTGTGAGCGAAAGTTCGAAGGGTGCAACAACAGCTTTGCGACGTGCTCTGGAAATTGAACGCCAAGGCAAATTGCTGCACACGCAGACAGGTTCCAGCAACTCCAGGTATTCTTCGATCCTGCTCCGCGACGCCTTAGTTGCTGCTCTCGGAGCAGCGCTTTGTAGTCGGCCACTTTTTTAGTTCGATAATAGAACGCGATCACATCTCCAGTAGTCTTATTGCTCAAGAACAAAGAAATTTGCGGAAAATTTTTCGGGAATTGCAGGAACTTGTCCACATATATGCACTTCTCTAAGTCGTTCCACGGGTTCACTTTCATCTCTGCCCTTTCCTTCAGTTTCCAGTCCGTTACTAGCCCATCAGCCATACAGCTTTGACAATTGGCAAATCGTGTGAAGTAACGTTGTTGTCGATCTTCAGCGGTGATCAGCATGTCTGGAATTGCAGTTGATAACGCGTTTTTTAATCGTTTTTTTCGAACTTCCTGGTCAATGAGAGCCTGCGTCTTAGCCTGCTCAATTTTCTCCAAATCGTTGTTATCCAAGTCAGCACTAGAATTGTTCGTCAAACGAGACGAAGTTCGCACAATTGTGCCTTCGCCAGCAGCTTCAGCTGCCTTTTCAGCTGCGACTAGCTGCTGGACGTGAGGGCTTTGGTGGATAGTATTTGTGGTCCGGACGGGTCCACTTTCACTCATTGTTTTCAATTTTTCCTTCTGGAGCTGCTTCAGGCGTAGTTTCTCCTGGCGTTTTCGGTCCTTCTCCATCTTTTTCACTCCCACTTTCCACGACTTCTTCATGTCCACGTAGTCCCGCGCCAGTTTCTTCAGGTACTCATGTCGAGCTCGATTCCGCATTCGCACTTTTAGGCGCATTTGATTGGAAAGCGCTGATCCACGATCAATATTATCCTGGTAAAAGGGGTAGTCACTAGGTTGGTGATATATTTTGGTCGCTACTTGACCCTTCTCCATTCGCTTCGGAAGTCGGTCGTTTGCGGCGGTTGTTTTACGTAAATTTTCAGAGAACACACCCGCTAGCAGCTCCACGAATTTCGGATCTACCGCTAATTTCACGGGAGATGTCAAAAGGGGTTGAGCAGATGAAGTATCGGTTGGGCCACCCAGCTTTGACGAGGCTGCCGTACGAACAGGTTCATCCGCCAACACAAGTTCAGTATCGGCTGATACACAAGCTGACTCTTCTGCACAGGCAATCCTTCTTTGCAGCGCCTCAATCTGCTTCTTCACGCCTGCAATGTCCGAGTCCAGTATGTCAATCGCGGCAAGAACTTCTTCTTTTAATGGCTTTGCATAAACTACGCTATCTTTTCCAATAGCGCCACCCTTCACTGTTTTCGCATCGTCACCTGTTTCTGCTTCGCTTGTTACAAGCACAAAGGACCCCTCAGCAGCAACTAACTTTGCTTTTTCAGGTGTTGACCTTTCTAAAGTCAGTTTCTTGACAGCATCCTGATAAAAATCGTCAATGATAACAATCTTCCCTGCTTCAGCTTTAACTGGTGGGTACTCATCGTCTCGAGACAAAGCACTAGTCTCCTCACTCTTCGCATTGCCGTCACTAACACATGTGTCACCTTCGTCCAGAAATGCAGTTGTAGCGCTCTGCAGCGTGTCATTTTTTTGCTGTACTAAACCCTGGCCCCACCCAATACGTGGCCGCTTTGCGGGCTGAGGTGGTGATGAAGGAGCGACGAGCCCTTGGCCCCAGCCTAACCGAGGACGGTGCCGTTTCGTTGGCGTTCCTTCTCCCACAACCGTAGGCGAAGAAGTCGCGCGAATTCCACCACGGGGAAGAGGAATATTTGGTAGTGATGGCAACTCTTCCCGCACTTTTGAGCTCCATTTGTCTTCTGCAGGTAGGTTTTCAGCTCCCAGTATTCGTTCACCTACCGGTAATAACTGTGCGTCAATAATGCTGCTTACTGACTCCGTCGGCAGCACTTCTCTTTTCACTACATCTTCTTTCTTTATGCCATCATGAAAATCTCTTCTTCGCCCTTCCGCACTGCTCTCTAAACAAACATAAGGCTGTAAAAATGGCTTGCTGTAGGATGATCGAGAAGTCCTACTACCGCCTGCATCACCGGATTCTTCGGACGACGCATAACAACTATGTTCCGGTAGCGTCGAAAAAGACGCACGACGATCAACCGCAGGGCGTCCACTAAACTTTGGCGAATGCTTGTGGGTCAGAGATGATGCAACATCCCTCTGTTTATAATACGATTCTCGTGTTTCTTCATGCGCCGGCCTCAACATGAGTGTTAGCTCAGCCCTGAAAAGTCCCTTATCTTCTTCATGAGCACTTTCGTCGCACCGACTGCTGTTTTGCAAGCCAAACGATGAAAATGACGTTGATCGAGGCTTACTGTTGTTGCTAAAAGCTGCCGACGAAGGATCAGTTCTGCTGCGTTCAACTTTAGCCCGTTTCTTTCGTCCATGTTCAATGTCAGGTAGAGTATTCATCATTGTAGCGTTCACAGCACGTTTCGCCCCCTGACCTTGTTCCAACGAACTGCTTAGCGAGGTGACTATCTTGCTATCGCGGATGTCGGAAAGGCTGTCATAAGCAACCGTAGTGCTTAGCTTTGTAAAGCTACAATCGGTTACCACTGCCATTGCCTCTCTCTCCTCAACCTCTCTATTTTCAGACATCATAGTGTCCTTAGGCTTAGTAGCCGACACGATAGATAGGTCATCCGTATCCAGCACCTGTTGGTCAGCAGCCACACTAGAAACTGCATCTAGACCAGATCTCTTTCCATCGTCCGCATCCACACCTGTCATCTCCACGTCTGCTGCGTGAACTATCGGTTTCCATGAGCTTAACTGATCCGCATCTTTCGCTTTGCTCGAGCTACTTGATACGGCGCCCCTGTCAGCCCCACCATCTTTTATAACTACAAGAAAATCATCATCAGCAAATTTATCTACAAGTAGCTCGTTCTTGCGATGCTCTTTTGTCTCCAATAACAAACCCTCATCATGGGGCGCAATGGGATCTACTGTGGTCGGATCATCCATCTTGCTATCAACACCATGCTTGAGACCAGGAGAAGTAGAAGATTGTTGAGAAACAGAGGACAGATTCTCCCTGGATATTTCCACTTTGTCTTCCGCCAGAACGTACTTGTCTGAAGACTTCACGCAATCTTCTTGTAACAATATTACTTTGTTCGGCACCTCTGCAGCGTCAGGTAAACCTAGAGGAGCAGTGGCCTTCACCTCAGTTCTCGCAGTGAGACCGGCATCATCTTTGGCTTCACCGAACGATTTGCTCGCGTTGGACATGCCGCCATCATCTGTTTTCGGCACTTCCGTCGTCTTCTTTAGCAAACCTTCGTCGCCTTGAACTTGTTCAGAAACAAAAGTTGTAGCATCAGTGAAGTTGGCAATCTGGACTTCAGCAGCAGAGGCAAGCTCTTTGCTCATTCGTTTTACATGCGTTTGCTCGTTCTCACTAGCAATTGCATTCGTACAACCTGCGTACAACATATCATCCTTCCTTTTCTTCTCATCTTCATCATCCACCTCAATTGACCCTGTACATGAAGCTGCAGATTCAACCTGGCTCACGTCAGACTTTTCACCCTCCGATCTCCTCGACAACCTTTCTTTTACAATCGCCTTTCTATTGGTGGGGCAGCTGTGTCCATCACTCTCCTTAAACACTCCTGAGTTCCAAGAACTGTCAGCAGTTGGACGAGGTGGCAGCGCAAGGGTACTCGAGACAACCATTCGCTTTGTACCGCTCTCCGTAGCGTTCGTCATCTCCCAGTTTATGCTGCCCGACTCACTTGGCGTTTGCGATTCCAAAGACCTCTCGCTAGTAGCCATGTAGTTTTCCTCCGATTTCTCTTCGCCTTCCTCCGCACTCACGGACGCTTCACTCTCTCTGAAATAGTCGGACGCAAAGCTTGACGTCCGTACGAGCGACAAAGACCTGCTGCTCAATTCACGCTCTCTCGTCCGTTCACAATAACCTGACTCATAACCCCAACGGTCTTGACCTCGGTCTCGCATCTGTCGGTCACGAAAACTGCGTGCTACTGACGTACTCCCGTCATTGCTCCTTCTCTCCCGACTTATCGACCTATGATGTGGCGTCATCGCTGCCGTTGTGTATCGCACTTCCTTCGGGTAAAAGCGGTTGCCTCGTTGATAATTAGAGTATCGTCCCCCTCCTCTTCCCCCTCCTCTCGACCACGTGTCTCGCTCTCGTCCACGTTGTCGACTATCGTATTGATTCCCACGTCCTCCTCGTCCATAGACGTATTGTCCAGTTCTCGCACTGCGTCCACCTTGTTCCCAGTTGACAAAAGTACGATGCCCCCGAGGTGAAAACGATCTAGAACGGGAGCGTGATCGAGAGCGTGGCGGAGACTTGGGCGACCGAGAGACTGAACGTCCTCTAGAGCGTGAGAATACTCGATCTTTCTGGTACGATGCTGTAGCTCTTGTTCCTTCGTAGCTCATAGGCTGATGCTTAAAGTAACTGCCGTGTCCTCCTCCACTTCTGCTGGTATAAGGACGTGGGAGACGGCTGCGAGGTGGTGAACTATCATGCCATTGCTGGCTCTGACTGGTGTAAGCCGTGGAACGACCAGTCTCGACCAAGTGGCGGTCCACAGAGCCACGACTGGCACTAGACGATGATGACTTGATCTGGATATGACGTCTACGAGCTGGCGTTGCTTCCCCAGGCTCAGGTGATGACGCTCTGGACGAATTGTCCGCCATTTTGTCGTGTTTAGTCTTTGAAATGCTGCAACTTTTGTCCTTCTTTTCCTCTGTTTTCTCCTATAGATAGACGACTAAGAGGTGCCGCGTCAGAATTGCCATTACGTAGGATTATGCGAAACGATAGGATTAGATTCACCTTTTTTTAACCACGATTACGCACATAGTGTTAGTGCACTGCGTGGGATGGCTTGTCATTGTGCACGGCCTGTACCTTTTCTTGGCGAACTGAAGCGACAAGGCGGGACAACAATGGGTAAGACGCCTCGCGTTACCGATTCTTACTATCTACCAATCAGAGGTCAGAAAAGGTTAGTGGATCTCTTTAGCTTTCAAAATGGAGCGGGCGCTGGGAGAGCCGGCGCTCGTTCTCTGCAGCGTTTGCCTCGATAACACAAAGCACGAGGATCGATGGCTGCCATTGCGTTGTAAAAATGATCAGGCACTTCTTGTCCGCGACGTGTGTGTGCGTCCGCGTTGTCCACGGCTTCAGGTGCGTGGTCACTTGTGTGTAAGACACGTGCTGGAGCTCGAACTCTCGTGGCAGGGCAACTACAGCGTTCGGACGTGCCACGGCTGCTGTGTCAGTACGTTACAGCTATATCACGAAAAGCGTGATGTCTGGTTTATTTTCGAGACCAGCGAATACTCAATCCACGCGCATGGCGTCGAGCGACGCGTCAAGACGCAACCCTCGGTCTCTCAAACTCCCTACGCGTCTACGCGTGCAAATAGAAAAAGACGTACAGGAAAGCGTCAACGACTGCGACGTGGGTCCAGTCGGTTAACGAAACATCATGTGCGGGGGGAGCAAATGCTTGCGTACGAGTGGAGCTTGGGCAACTTGTCGCTGGAGAAGAGTAAACATCTCTGGAGAGACAACCAGAAGCGCGTCGAGATGAAGAAAGATTCATTGGTTTTGTTTGCTTCTTCCGAAAGTGTTACAGAACAGTCGCATGAAAAACAAACATCGGATGCAGCAAATGCTCGACCGGAACCACAGGAAGTTTTTTGCGTCACATTGGGATGTAGACGTTATGCGAAGACGGGCTACTATTGCCGCTTCCACTCGTCAAAGCCACTCGTGTTTATGAAGCCAGTTGTGGAAATCAAAACGACGGGGTCGGCTGCTATTTTGGGGAAAGGATAGTTGTCTGTCGTTGACAGATGAACATTTGACAAGGTATTACCATTTGCTGGCCGATATCGGCCTACGCCTTAATTACGAAGCAGATCTGAAAAAAGCCGGCGGGGGCAGGACAAAATTATTTGCGAAGGCGAGGTGTTACGTGGCAGCAGCGAGGTGATTTAGTGACGAAGCAAGTAAGTCATAAATGTATAATGGAGTTTGACCAAGTGATTGAGAGTGAGATATTTGCTACATTAAACGCGCTCTGACAACGTATGAAGGCCATAGCATCTGTACCAAGAAGAAGTACCTGAAAATAGTCGCGGCAAATGTAATAATGGATCGCTTTTGAAGGACTGCTAGCAGGTTTCAATTGCTCATCGAAAATAGAATTTTCCGAGATTGTATGAGATTCGTCACTTACGTGTTTGTCGTTTGTTCTTACTCCTTCATGATTTAGCATAGCATTGTGGTATGTGGCACGCGGTGCAGAACGCTGGTTCCTTAAATAAGGTTGCTGCTACCGCGTAGATTTTGGTACAATGCATTCTTCTGCTACTGCAATAACATGTTATAATGTAAAGTAACCTCACAGATATGGTGTGCAGTTGTATTCGAGAGATGAACATTACAATTTGCTATCTACATGACCAACACAACAAACAAACAGCAGTTGAAGCTGGATTGTACCTCTCACTCATCAACGACGACGCTGACGCTCGCGACGATTAAAACCTCCACTACCAAACGCATTGCCACCAACCGGTGCGGCACCTCCAAACCCAGGCTGGCCACCGGTGAATCCGTTGTTGCCAGTCGGACCGAAGTTCCCCCTTGCACCCTGCCCACCAATTCCACCAAACGCGTTCCCACCTTGCGCGCCGAATCGCGTCTGTTGCCCGAAGCCGCCCGCACCATTCCCATTGAAGCCGTTCACACCATTTCCGTTGAAACCACCCATGCCAGCACCAGCTCCACCAAACATACCACCACCGAAACCAGGCATCTGATTGCCACCACCGAAGCCGCCACCGATGGTGCCCGTAGGATTTCCACCAAACCCGCCGGTGTTTGTAGGGAATCCACCAGAAGCACCTGAGGCACCCAGTCCAGCTCCAACTGGGTTGTTGGCATTTCCGAAGCTTGCTGTCGATGGGACCCCGGCTATGCCTGCGTCACCAGACTGAGGAATGGCTGCGGCAGCTCCTGGCTGTTGTGCTGGAGATGGATCTGCACTGGAAACGTTCGCTGGTGCCGGCGTGGCCATTGATCCTCGGGTTACCGTAGGTGCAGGGGTTACCACTGGACGTCCATTTGCAGTCGTCGGAGCTGGCGTGACAGCTGCAGATCCCAGTGCCACGTTAGTCCCTGCGGCAACGACATTGTTCGAAGCGGCATTGGTAGAGGCGGCATTGGTAGAGACGACATTGGTGGTGGAGTCAACGACGGCAGTGTTGGAGCCAGCTATCACTGTGGACGGGATGCTGACGGGAACAGGAATGAAATGCGGCACCTCCACAGGCACGGGAATAGCGATTTTCTTGACTTTCTTGACTTTCTTGACATGATGGTGGTGGACCTTCCTGTAATAGGGCATTCAATTACACGTAAACATTGAGTAGTATACTCAATGTTTGGTCTAAAAGTATCCATGATTACTTTTGACCTGTCACTTGGGTGCGATACACAAATGTGATCCACCCTCGTGAATGTGATATCCATTGATGGTTTTACATGGGAAGGGATGAAGCTAGTTGAAGCTAGGCATCGCGACGTCTCAGAAGGACGTCATTCGCAAGCTTTAAACCTACATTTAAGTTCATGCGACAGGATACGCTTCTACAGAGTCGCGTATCCGATCTATATATATAGCCAATCAGTAGTTAAGTTTATTAAATTATAATACATTAAATATAGCTCAGTCTTGAATTTACTAAATCAAACACACCGCGCACGAGAAGCTGAAAAAGCTTCTGCGTGACGTCGGTGACTTGTTATTTAGAAGTTCGTTGCACTCTCGCTTAAGCGAGAGGCAACTGGCGGTACGACTACATAAGCAGCCGACCAATCACACAACCACCCTTGCACACAAAGGTATGACGGTCTAACCGCTTCCTCGCTTGTGCTGAAGGTGTGTGCTAAGTAGCACGAGGCAACTTCGTAGAAGTGCCCGTCTACACTTGGTAGCACTGGTAGTTCTCACGACCCGTCTCTCTGAGCGTGCGTGTGGTTAAGATGGTCCTTAACATGGACTAGAATGAATTCCCTCACCTCTACCAACATCATAGGGAGTTGGCAGAGCATACGGCGCAGGGACTTGGTAAACAAGCCTTGGTCAGCCTCTTACATTGTCCTCCTGAGCAACATGTTGCTCAGCTGGAGCAATTCGAGGCGTTTGTGCTCATACAGCGTAGAAACGCGTCCGAGGTAAACAGCCAAGCCACGGCTGAGTCCATCAATAAGACTCAGGATGAGCTTAGGCTTGAGCAGGCACGGAACTGTTAAGACGCCCTCGGCCCGGCCTAATCAACCGAGGCCCATTCGGATGGACTCTCCGAAGTTCGATGGAACTACCCCTCACACGATTGTTCACTGGCTATTAGCAGTTGAGCAATGTGGAGTGGCGCAGCTCATCGAAGACGACACCAGAAGGGTGTCGTATGCCATGTCCAACTTGCGTGGCAAAGCGTCAGAGTGGGCATACTCTGCGCTGATGGCAAATGCTGATGCGTTTCCATCATGGGCGATCTTTAAAACAAAGATTTGTGCCATGTATCAGCCGCCTAACAACGAAGTGTTTCTTATAGCGCGCTTATTTGGAGCACGACAGGCGAAACGCTCTCTGCAAGAGTTTGTGCAGGAGATGCGTTCGCTGTCGGCTTCCATCAATGGGGAACCGATACCAGAGCGTATCAAGGTAGCCACGTTCATGAATGGACTTAGGCATGGCCCATCGCGTCAGGCCCTTTTCAGAAAGGTGCCAGCGACGATGGAAGAGGCAATTGACATTGCCTTAGGTGAGGAGCAATCCTACAACAGCGCCTCGGCGACAGCCTATTACAGGCCGTCGACCGAGAAGTCGGATGCCACTCCTATGGAGTTAGGCAATGCAGATGTGATCTGCTACAAGTGCGGCAAGCGAGGCCATATGATGGCTCGCTGCTACGCCAAGGTAGCTGCTGGTGCTAAGGCACCCAGCAAAAGTTCTCCCAACCCGAAGGGAGGTGCGAAAAACCAGCGTGCACGACGCACGGGTTCAGCACCTGCCAAAGATGGGTCGGGAAATGCGGGAGCGCAGTAGGGGCGGGATGCCCTACTGTCGCGGACTCTGAAGCTACCCCTAAGTTCAGATTGATCAAACCAATGGGCAGCATAGTCCCTGAGGTACCGAAAGGTCGGACCTCAATCCTTTTTGGTCTATAGCGCTCGAGTACGAGGCTATGACCAAGTGATGACCCTTCTCGTGGATTCGGGTGCATCACAAAACGTTTTGAAGCTCGCGGCTCTGAAAAAGAGTCCGGCGAGTTATGAGTCGCTTTGCCAGGATGGCAAGCGAGAAGAGGCGATCGTTCGTTTAGCGAACGGCGCGCTCGTCAAATCGGAGGGAGTTCAAGTTGAACTCGCCTTCAGTTTCAGTGACTTCTCTTGTAAAGAGAAGCTCACAGTGCTAGGTATGGAGAGTCCGTATGACCTCATCCTAGGCATGCCTTGGTTGGCTAAACACCAACCATGGATTGACTGGCGTACACGCACAGTCGCTAGCTCTACGCAGGACACCGGAAAGGATGTGCTCTTGCGAGAGGCTTATGTGGCTGATGCTGTGTCCAACACAGTCGAGGGTGTGATGACGGTATGTCAATCGGCACCAGGAACTACCCAGCTCGAAAGGAGTGGTGTAGTTGGAAGTGCACTGGCGGAAAGCCAGGTGACACATATTCCTACTCAGGTCGAAGAGACTGGTGTAGTGAATGGGACGATGACAGGTAGTCATGCGTCCAATGATCCTGCACAGAGCCGAGAGCCTGTGACAGTTGATGGTGGGCTGACAGGAAGTCAAGCACTACCAGAACCGGCACAGAGCCAAGAGCCTGGTGCGGTTGGAAGGAGTGCGTTAGCTGAGATAGCAACGACACCTTCTTCCAGGTCAAAGGTCGTGGTGACTCGAGCAACGAGCACCAGACGTATTAAGACGATCAAGGGCACGTCAAAACGAGTGAGTCTCGGTCCAAGAGGACGGACCTACGAACGAGTTGTTCGAGGTCGTCGAAGGTAAGATGTTGGAGGCATCCTCAGTTGAGGTGCTCCAACTTGTCTTGGCATCTGCCGAGGAGATAGTAAATCTCTCGGAGATGACGTGGGATCTCTTCCTGTCCGAGCTAAAGGAAGGAAAGATCCACGAGATAGTCGCACCAGCTCCAGAAGAGAACGTGGTGGACTGTTGCTCTTCATCCACAATGGATGCGAGCGTCTTGAAGACCGACAAAAAAAACGGGTTTCTGCTCAAGGCTGGGATGCCTTGAAGGACAGCCCGTTCTATGATGTTCTATGGAAACACCGTGATGTGTTTCCAGCAGAAGTGCCGAGCCGTCTAACGGCCGATAGAGGCATCAGGCACGAGATTGACCTGGAGCCTGGAATCAAGTATTATGTGACCAGGCAATGGCCGTTGCCGAAGGAACAAGTCGATTAAATCGATGATTTCTTCGACAGCGAGCCAAGGCGGGACATGTACGTGAGAGCAAGTCGCCTCACTGCATCCCGACCTTCTGTGTGCGTAAAGAAACAGGTGGATGGCGCGTGGTGCACGCTTATAATAAGCTGAACACGTCCATCATTCCGGCTCAAACGCCGATCCCGCGGAAAAATGTCTTGTTAAATTCCATGGGAAAGTCAACTATCTTTTCCGCGTTGGATCTCAAGGATGACTACTATCAAGTTCTCCTGAAAGATACTGATGTAGCCAAAACGGCAGTAAGCACCCCAAGCGGCATGCTGTGGGAGTGGCTTGTGATCCCACAAGG